TGATTACGATCACCCGGTTGGTGACCACTGCCCTATCGCCTGAAAAAGCAGGTTGGGCATCTTTGCCCACTGAAGATTCTTTTGCAGGTCAAGAGGCACTGGTTCTCAAGAAGCTAAGAACTCCCAGAGTGCATCATCTGCTTTTGTAGCATAGCATTTTTCTCTAAAACAGCTGTATAGTGAGACCTTTTTGGAAGTTCAGCAATTTTGCATCAGGCCTCTCCTGAGGCTTTTGCAATTCAGAATCCAGAATTACATGGTTCTCCCTTAGTCCATTGCCTAGTTCTAGTAGAAATAACATTTGGGGTTGAAGTTTAAATGTTCCTGTGTATTTCCCACCATTTTTATCATGTTATCTCTGAATATGGCTTGGCAGCCCAGAAAGTCCGTGAAAATGGTTTCATTCTCCCTTTGTTCAACCCAGGCTTCAGTTGCATTTGTAAGTGTAAAAATGTCTCGGATCCATAGGAGGGTTGGGGTTTTTTGGGTGTTTTTTTTGTCCTAAATGCGCTTCAGCGTCAGTTTTTTTGCTGATAAGTAGCTGTTCATGAGACTAGAAGCAATTAAGAGGGTGCTTTATTATTTCTTCACAACTGGAGGTACAATTTGATATAACCTAGTTTCCAGATTGCATGAAATTTTTTTGTACAGAATCAGCTATTGTGATCCCCATTCACCAATGGATAGCTGATCGGACAATTGTTCTTTAGTAGGACTACAGACAAAGCTATGCTTTTGCCAATGTCTGCTAGCAAATTCTGACTTAATAGTCCCCACACGAAGTACTTTCAAAAGTTCCTGAGCTTTGGCTATATTCGTGTTTGTGGCTCAAGCAGCACTCTCATTTCAAAATGTCTGATTCTGCTGTTGAGATTGTCAGACAAGAAGCTAATATTTATGAATAACCATTTAATGTTGCCAAAATATTTAACAGGAGTTATTACCTACCTTTTGGTGTATTGGAGATTTATTCTTCATCTTGTTTAGAGGTCAAGGGGACAGAGCACTGGCCTGGGACCTAAGATGCTTAGATTCTGTGCCCTGCTCTGCCACTGGTTTGTTGAGTGAACAAGTCACTCTCTGTGCTTCAATTTCCTCATCTTTAAAATAGGAATAATGATACTGACCTCATTTATAAAGTGCTTTCAGATCCATGAATAAAAAGAGCAATCTCTAAAAGATATTATTTGATCACTTCCATATTGTTCATTTAAATTGGTTTCAATTCATTTCCGAGGAAGGATGGTTTGGTACATAGAAAAACCAATTACTTTAATACTTGTTCAGTTAAGTGAACCTTCCTTCTTGTAAGGAAAAAATGAGACAAGGTAATTTTTCTGTAATGCTTCTATTTCTATTATAACTCTAAACCATGCGATGAGTTGAAGGGACAATTTTATGAGGCACTCTGAAAAAGTTGGTGTAGTTGAAGTTAGAGTTATTGGATAGGCATATTAGGGATTGAGAAAGTTATATGTACATTTTTGTTTCATAGAAAACCCTTAAGTGCCCTTGCCTTGGTTGCTGTTAGCTGAAATGCAACTTTCTGATCTGGTCTAAGAAAATAAAATAAATAGTCCATCCCTTGTAAACCATTAATCAAAATCTTAAGGTTCCATTTCTAAACAGGGACATGGTAGCAGGGTAATTTTATAAATATAGCTTTGCAGTGTGAGACCAAAGGTTTCCTGTTTGGGATGTCAGTGGCATTTGTTTCCATTGTAAATAGCGAGAAATGTAGCATAAAACTAGTGTTTATTTCTTTCAGTGTGTGCAGTGTATTTCCACATGATTTCAGATATCAGATGCATCATACAACTGTGCTTAAATTCGTTTTTATTTTCAGCATATCATAACATTTAGACAAAAACAGAAACAACACTATAAACACATTTTGAAAAGTTTCTCCCTCTTTTTGAAGCAGCTCTATTTAGAACTTGGCAGGTTATCTTAATGATAACACTTACCTCTGTAACATTCTTAGTTTGTCACAATTATTACAGATTATTACTACAACTAACCAAATATAGTTAACTAGCAATTAGCAACTAGAGTACATTTTTTATTTGAGTTTCTTTTTCCTCCCCCAGTCAATGTGTTAGCAATGTGATGTACCTTTTTAGGAATCATGGACAGCAGCAATGATATCTGACCATAACACTCAGAAGTATAAAACAAAAATAAAATTGGTACTTACTGGAGAACTGGTTCCATGCTCTTGGGGCCTCCATTTTCCTAAAAATTTCTAAGCAGTATTATGTTACATTTTTATTAGGATTTACAAGAATTAGTTAAATAACATAAACTGCAAAAACAATTTTTGCCATATGGATTTTAAGATTAGTGACATTTTGGATAAGAAGGTTAGGGACTGCTCTTGCAATTACCTGAGTCTTTGATGCATTTTATTTCTAAATTTAAAATTTTATATGCAAAGCCAATTTCATGATCCTAGAGGTGAGTTAGAAAATCCCAGCTGGCAGATACAAGGCAGCAAATATTGAGTGGCAGTTGCTCATTTGACCAAGGCTGTAACTGCATGTAGAGATGGGCTTCATCTCTCTCCAAATGGAAAGCGAGAGAGGTGTTGAACTGTAACTTACAAGGAGATCTGTGAAGGTCAATATTTTAGCTGAGGCATGTTCTGTGCTTTGCAGACCCAACACATATCCTATCTGTTTTGAAGGGGCACAGCTGTTGTAAAAGGATGGCTTCTGTCAGGATGCAGGCCACACAGATAGGTGAAGGCACTGTAAGAACTTGCAACATGTTGAGGTGTTTTAATTAGTAAGACCTAGGACTGTCAACTTTTGCAATGATTTGGGATTGACTGACTTGGCAATCATGAGATCTCAGGAAAAACTAATACTGAGTTTTCTGTATGATAAAGAGCTTATTTTTGCTCTGTTTCACCAGAACCTTTCCTGAGTGAGTTCAACAAAACCTTCAATATATCACCATTGGACCTCCATTTGGGTTTGTACAGCAGCTTTTTAAATGCAACAGTGGGCATTTATTTGGTCAGACATAGCTAATCAAATTTACTTCCCTACCAGGGCCGGACCACAACATTTTGGCACCTGAGGCGGGGAGCTCAAATGACGCCCCCACACCTCCTCGCTTGGGCCGAAACTTTGAAAGGTCTGCCTTCTTCCTGTTCTACTCCTCTCATGGGACTGCAGAGAGAATACATATGCCCCAGAAGCAGACACAATTTTCTACACTCTGGGTCCTTGTGGCGCTCCCCCCCCACACACACAGTCTGGCACCTGAGGCAGCCGCCTCAATTCGCCTCATGTTAAGGCCAGCTCTGCTCCCTATTGCCTTGGTTCTGACCTGGTTTAGGAATAAAATTTTTACTTATAGAGTCCTCTATCACTCAATGAAAGTTAACCAAACCTCAGACATGCAGATGTTGTATAGGAGAGTAAACTTCATGCTTGTACAGTCATTTTTCAGTAATAATTGCCATGCAGAAGAGATAATGATTAAGGAAATAGATAGGTCATGCAGGTCTGCTGTGAGAGGATACAAATCCATTCACATTTGAACTAGACCCGTCAACACAATTGATGGAGGGTTTCTGGTAATGGTACATGCCATTAATAAGGGCAAAGTTCTTAATACTGTGGCATCATCAAGGGCTAAATCCTATGAGTTCATTTAGTGTCTGCTGAAGGAGAAGATTCTCAGCTGTTCAAGGACAAGGGGCCTCTGAGCTGCAAAAACCTGCACTCTTCAACTATGGTTTCAAATCAGCACAGCCAACTAAGGCTTTTAAATAGTAACATGCATGGGGATTCACTTTGTGTTATATCTTTCAGATGAAATCTTAAAAACCAACATGTCTGCCCTGAACTGAAGATCCCATAGTGCATTTTGTAACTGGGGTTTGCACTTCTGTAAGTTCCTCATTACTCTGCCTGCTGAGCATCTGTGGTCTGCAATGTGGGCAGGGAAGAATAATAATTTAACTTTCACATTAAAGTGGTACATAGGGATAAATGTCATCCGTAGTAGACAAAGCTCTTGGACTTAAAAGTGTTTTATAAAGAATGTCACCAGACTCAAAACCCTTAATATTACCGTATTTTCCGGTGTATAAGACGACTTTTGACGTTAACAAACATCCCCCAAAAATCGGGGGTCGTCTTATACGCCGGGTTTGCGGCTTTGCAAAGCCTCGGGGGGAAGCCGGCGGCAGGACTG